GGGGGGGATCCCAGCCCCAGTTACCAGCAGGGCTGGGGGGAAAGCATGGGCGGGGCCCTCAGGGCCCTCAGCTCACCCACCCCTCCCAGCCTCCCTCCTGCCTCCCAGCAGGAATGTCCTCCCTTGCTCCTGCCGAAGCTGCTCCCCACCCACTGGGTGTCCTCAGGTCTGTCTGTGTGAGTCACTGCCCCCCAGGGGCCTCCATGGTCCTCCTCTGTGGGCTCAGCTTCATGCTCCCTTCCCATACAGCAAGGGCCGGAGGGAGACTTGCTCCCCGATGCTAGATGGTCCCAGAGGGCCCTACGGGCTGCTTCTCCCCAAGGGCCTCTCTCCCAGCTCTGACTCCATTCACATGCTGCCACGCACCACCCCCGGGCCCATCATGAAGCCCCCTGCCTTCTGCAGGAGCCCAAGAAGGGAAGGCAGCTCTAAGCAGGGGCTACTTTTGAGGGAGGGACAGCAGCAGCACCTCGTCCCTGGTGAACTCGGGGGCATTGTCATTGATGTCATCAAGGGTGATGATGGCTGAGGCAGTGGCTGTGAGGCCGTCTCCGGACATGTCTGCCACCTGCAGGGTCAGATTGTACACCGCGACCACCTGGGGATGTGGGGCACAGAGTCAGAAGATGAAGGCCCAGGTAGGCCACATAGGGACTGGTCAGGGGCGGGAGCCAGGCCACCTGGCCAGCTCAGTTCCTACGGGAGCGCCCAGTGGGTGTTGAAGACTCCAAATGGCCCTGAGAATCCTGCCCTGATCCTAAGTGCATGCGGCTGTGGTGCTGCCCCAGCCTATGGCGCTGGATAAGCATTTACAGAGCACCTACTGTGCGCTGGGTAAGCGTTTACAGAGCACCTACTGTGCGCTGGGTAAGCGTTTACAGAGCACCTACTGTGTGTTCAGTGCCTAGCATACCAGTGAGCTTGGGACCCTGCCCTGGGGAGCCGTGGTTAGTGGCAGGGACAGAAATGGACAAAGACCACATAACACAGTGTAACCAGGAGGGCTTCCCAGCGGGGCTGACTCAAGGGGGGTCTTTGGGGAGCACAGAAGTCCGAAAGCAAGGGGCAGCGGGGGCCCTGACAGAAGGAGCTAGTTACTTACTAGCGGGGAGCTGTTGCCATGAAGCTGAGAGGGAAGGGGCTGCTTGGGGAGCCCTGCCCTGTGCCGGGCCCCTCACGCTCTAAGTGGACCAGATCCCTCCCGCCTGGGCCAGTGCGGCTCCTGTCTGTGCATCAGTGGGTTCACCCCACGCCATCTCCTCGGGAGCCAGGGCCACTGCCAGCTCTGCAGCGACGGTAGGGACAGGAGTGTCTGGGGTGGGCAGGCTGGGGGCAGAGGGACCCACAGGAGATGGGCTGCTCTGGCTGTGCGGGGTGGAGCTGCCAGGGTGCCACCTCACCTCACGGTCCAGCCCCACTTGCACGGTGCGGATCTCGCCTGTGAGCTCGTCGATGCTGAAGAGCTCGGGGCCGCCCTGCTGCAGGATGGAGAACCGCAGTGCTGCGTTGTCCGTCTCGGGGTCGTCGGCATCTGTGGCCTCCGCCCTGGTCACATAGGTGCCTGGGAAGCACAGGGAGGCATGAGGGTCAGCGTCCACAGGGCCGATGGGCTGGGGGCATCGTGAGGGGCACGGGGGCACCTCGTGTGCACAGGCTCCCTGGTTCCAGCACGGCTTGACCCCAGATGGGGCAGTCAGTCCATGTTGCTGTTCGCGTCACCAAGGCGGCCTACACGCGGCAACCCCCAAGTCCAGATGCTTCCCGCTGCCCCTGAAGTTCACCACGCCGTGTCCAGGCCACCGATGTGGTGGAAGCCTTTTGCCCGGCTTGTACTGTTTATGGGGTCGCAGCACAGGAACATAGGATGCTCCTGGGACAGGTGCTGGCTCCTGTGCCTGCCCGGTGCAGGGACTGAGGGCACTGGGTCAGACTGGGCTAGCTAGCGGGGGGCCTCCAGGAGCTGCTGGCATCCAGGGTGACAGAGGACTCATGGGCAGGCTGAACAGAGGATGCACGGGCAGGATAAAACAGAGGACACACGGCAGTTGAGTGGAGGACGCACACCGCGTCTGTGGAGGCCAGAGCCCCAGCCCCACCTGCTGTGGGAAGCAGCACTCGGGAAGGTGCTGCTAGAGGAAGCCACCTGTGGTAGGGCTATGCTTCACCTCCCCCCCATTTCCCTCTCCTGAGATTTAGATCTGACTCCTCTGGCAGCTCAGGGGGACTGAGCCACCGAGGTGGGGTGGGAAGCACAGGCTTCGGGCCATACTGGGGAGCAGCTCCTGGCCGGCTGTGACCTCCCCCCCGGGACAGCTGGAGCCAGGACGTGCTGTCTGTCACCTGGGACAGAACGAGGCGCGGAGGCCGTGCCACAGACACAGGAAGGAAACTGAGGCAGGATATGAGCCTCCAAGCCTGAGCCTGGGCCAGGCCTGGCCACAGTCCCTGGTAGCCCCAGACACGAGGGGGCCTGTGTCCCTCCGCCAGGTCTTTACCACGGGCCCCCAGGGAGGTGGGAACGAGCCCGTGACTGGGGCTTGCAGGCCAACCCGGGTTTGGGGTGAATCACAACCAAGGGATGCCTGTGGGTGCTTCGGACCCTGCGTGAGTACAGGGTGAGGATGGGGTGTGCTTGGCTCCAGATGCCCCCTCAGCAGGAGGGAGAAGTCATTTGCTTTTGGGGAGAACAGGACCCCTGAAAACCCTCCACTCCCAGGCACAGATTTTTGGGTCTGAAATTTATATTGAAATGGGAAGTGGCTTGAGTTGACCTGTGGAAACGGACATTCCTCGGAGACCTGTTTACTTATTTTTAGACTCTCCGAGGGGCCTCTGGAATTCTTGCTTGAGGGACATCCTGGATTTCTGGCTTCGCAGAGCCCTTCCCTGCAGCCCCTCCCAGCCCGGGGCCGCCGTCCTGTCTCACCTGGGGCTGCGCCCTCCAGCACGCGGCCGGTGAACGCCTCCTGCAGGAACACTGGCCGGTTGTCGTTCTGATCCACAACTACAATCTCCAGGTCCGTGGGGTCCTCCAGGGTGGATCCTCCCAGGTCCAGGGCAAACGCTCTTAGCTGTTCAAACACAGAGCAAGGGCTGGCTCTGTGGGCCCCAAATTTCTGTGGCTCCCATTAGGGCCATGCGAAAGAGACAGCATGTTCAGACTTTGTCTCCAGCTGGAAACACCAACTTAAACAGGAGACAAACAGCACAGGGTGGGGTATCTGTCACAGTGGCTGAGAATGTCCCTGAACGGGAGCCACCTTCTCTTAGCAGACAGAGCAGGTGCCATTTTCCCTGCTTGCCTTGGCTGCCAGGAAGCTCACAGCTGCTTCATGTGTGACTAAAGTAAGGCTCTCAAAGGGTTCCTAATCTCTCTCCCTTTCTCTCTATGGTCTTGGTTCCTCCTGAAGTTTTTTTTTTGTTATTGTTGTTGTTGTTGTTGTTGTTTTATTTTTAGATGGAGTTTCGCTCTTATTGCCCAGGCTGGAGTTTAATGGCATGGTCTCAGCTCACTGCAACCTCCGCCTGCCGGGTTCAAGCGATTCTCCTGCCTCAGCCTCCCGAGTAGCTGGGATTACAGGCACACTCCACCATGCCCAGCTAATTGTTTGTATTTTCAGTAGAAATGAGGTTTCATCATGTTAGCCAGGCTGGTCTCGAACTCCTGACCTCAGGTGATACACCTCGGTCTCCCAAAGTGCTGGGATTACAGGCGTGAGCCACCACGCCCAGCCTCCTCCTGAAGTCTAATTCCCCTGTGCACATGACATTTTAAAGGCCTCCCATCCTTTTGGAGAATGGGCACAATTACAGTTTCCAAGTGAAAAATACTCTCTAATAACATTTGATGTAAGGGATCAAAGGACTGGTTCTCGAAGTCTAAAGGAAGATTCGGGGCAAATAAAAGGAAATTTTGCTTCCTGCAAAGGCAAAGGCAGGAAGCATCCTTTCCTCACATCAGGTATGAAATTACTTTTTCTTTTTTTTTTTTTTTTAGACAGAGTCTCGCTCTGTCACCCAGGCTGGAGTGCGGTGGTGCGATCTTGGCTCACTGCAAGCTCCACCTCCTGGGTTCATGTCATTCTCC